AACAACTGCAACACCTGGGGAATTGCAGATGCGTTACTGGCCTTTTAAAAAGGAATAGTCTCTTTTGATGAAGGTCGCTAAGTGTTTTTGGTTTGAAAAACTCCCTGGTGGTAGTTGATTCCACAAGGAAGTTGTGCGAGGAATAACACTTCTTTTAAATCGCACATTGGTGGACTACCAGTCATTCAGATGGTGTGGATTGTATCGCGATGTGCGATGGTGAAATTGTGCGGCTGGAATTAGTTCGAACAATCATAACATCAATAGCGAGTGCATTAATCATTTACGATTTGCTGACGATATGGTCCTTATAGCAGAATCGCTGGAAAACCTAAACACTGTCCTCAATGACTTCAATAGTGTCTCCAAAGGGATAGGTCTTAAAGTGAACGTGGACAAGACAAATATACAATGTCGAATGTATAATGTCATTCATGTGTAATATCGATGTCACACCTATGCCGGTAGATGTTAGGAGCTCTAAGCTCGAAGTTGTTGACAAGTATGTTTATCTGGGAAAATAGTCCGACTAGGTAAGTTTAACTTCCACCGAGAGCTCAATTGACGAATTCAACTTGGCCGGACAACGTTCGGTAAATTACGACACATCTTCTCGTCAGATCATACCTAAAAACAGTAAAACGATTTTGTACAACCAGTGCGTATTGCCAGTTATGGCTAATGGATCTGAGACGTGGTTCTTTACTGATGGCCGTATGAGGACGCTCAAGGTCACTCAGCGAGTTTTCGAGAGGGCTATGCTCGGAGTTTCTCTGCGATATGAACTTAGAAATGAGGATATCTGCAGTAGAACCAGAGTGACCAATATAGCCCAACGGATCAGTAAGCTGAAGTGCCAATGAGCCGGTCATATAGCCCGAAGAACCTAAAAAAGTGTAGGGCGACCCCCCAGTAGATGGAGTATGATGCAAGTAGCACAGGACCGTGTTTTGTGGCATTCCTTTGGGGAGACCTATGTTCAGCAGTGGTTGTAAAGTGCTGTAATGATGATGATGATTCTACCTTACAATACATGTATCTTATCGTATTTATTAATATAAATGATAATTGAGAAATGTTTAAAGTGAAATTGACCATAAAAATAAAAAAAGTGTGTAATTATAACGTTACCGTAACAAATTTTTTGCGTTAAACTTTACAATTGTTAAAAATTAAGGCAATTTTGAATTTAACTAGATTAAATTATCTTTAAAATAACAGCTGGTTGTCTTCCATACGTTTACTCTGTGTTGAAAAAAATTATTAAAAGAAACTACTACTTTGCTCCGTTGGTATACACGGTCCGACCTCTACTTTCGTTAGCAAGATGGCCGCCAATAAGGCTCTCTACAGACAGAAAACAAAATAATATTTATTAAGTTTATGATACAAATTTTACATTAACATGTACATTTTATAATTCTATATAATTCAAAACGACTCTATAACATTCGAAAGACATCCTATTAATACATATACATATAATATTCTCAATTTAATACAATTACATTTTACTAAACACCAAAAATATAGAACAGCAAAAAATAAAATATATCGGAAAATTAAGGTAGCATAATAGGCGTTCTTATCGCTTAAAGCGACCTCTACCAGACTGCCTTTGGATACACAGAAATGGTGAAATATACATGCGATACAAATATATATATATATATATACATATATATATCAGGATTAGTGGATCACTGATGCAAATAGGTGAAGTTTTCCTATCTCATAAGTCCATAATATTTAAAGTTAATATTTAAAAAAGTAGAATTAGTAGTATTATGAAATTAATGAATTTGTGACATTCCTTGCGGGAAGCCTATGTTCAGCTGTGGACTTGTGAAGGGCTATAATAATGATGATGGTGATGATTATGAAATTAATATTTTGTCATTTCACGTGATAGAATTCAGTTTATTATTTCTTACGTTTCATAATTTTAATTAATTAATATATGGTATTAATATTTGCAATACTTGAACTACTCAAACACCTGACCGCCGAGCTTCAACACGTCAAGCAAGTTCTGCACGACAACAAGCTCCGGGTCCCGCGCCTACGTCACAGTGACCGAGTGAAGCCGGCCACAGTCGAGCGTGTGCCTGCTGTACTACCATATGTTAGAGGTGTCACAGACAAGATTGGCTACATCTTGAAGCGAGCTTCTATTAGAACATTCTACAAGCCGCCGAAGAAGATTAGTCAGTTCCTACCATCAGTCAAGTGTCATATTCCTCTACAAGATGCAGGAGTGTACAAGCTTGATTGTGAATTTGGTCTCTCTTATATAGAACAAACGAAAAGATCAATTAGAACTCGCGTAAAAAACATATAGCTGATGTGAAGCATCAACGTTCCGGGAAGTCTGCAGTTTGCGATCATATCCTAGACGGCCCCAACCATTACATCAGATTTGATAGACCACAAATCCTCGCGAAAGAACACCGATTCCTACCAAGGATGATACGTGAAGCTATTGAAATTAAAAAACATCCTAATTTCAATAGAGAAGGACGCTGGGTACTACCACCTGCTTGGGATCCTATAATTAATAAAATTAAACTAAACCCAAGCATACCACTGCAAGACCTCAGGACATAGTCAGTTCATTTTGCATAGATCGGACCATAAACAATAATTAAAAAAAAGCTGAAGGTACTCCGCGTTTAACAATGACATCGGGACGTCAGTCATCTCAATCCTCCATAACCATGGGTGCTGGAAAGCGCCCGAAACGTCGGGAATTGAAAATAATAGTAAAATAAACGCGATAAAATCCGTAAAAGTAGTTTTAATCAATGTGTAGTGTTCGCGTAAATATAAGAAATCATTAATTATACACTTTTTTATTTTTATGGTCTATTTCACTTTAAACATTTCTCAATTATCATTTATATTAATAATTACGATAAGATACATGTAAAGTAAGGTAGAATCATCATCATCATCATCATTACAGCACTTTACAACCACTGCTGAACATAGGTCTCCCCCAAAGGAATGCCACAAAACACGGTCCTGTGCTACTTGCATCATACATACTCCATCTAGTGGGGGGTCGCCCTACACTTTGCCTACTGGTACAAGGCTGCCACTCGAGAACCTTTCTTCACCATCGATTTTCGGTTCTTCGAGCTATATGACCGGCCCATTGGCACTTCAGCTTACTTATCCGTTGGGCTATATTGGTCACTCTGGTTCTACTTCAGATATCCTCATTTCTAAGTTTATATCGCAGAGAAACTCCGAGCATAGCCCTCTTTAAAACTCGCTGAGTGACCTTGAGCGTCCTCATACGGCCATCAGTAAAGAACCACGTCTCAGATCCATTAGCCATAACTGGCAATACGCACTGGTTGTACAAAATCGTTTTACTGTTTTTAGGTATGACCTGACGAGAAGATGTGTCGTAATTTACCGAACGTTGTCCGGCCAAGTTGAATTCGTCAATTGAGCTCTCGGTTGAAGTTAAACTTACCTAGTCGGACTATTTTCCCAGATAAACATACTTGTCAACAACTTCGAGCTTAGAGCTCCTAACATCTACCGGCATAGGTGTGACATCGATATTACACAATGAATGACATTATACATTCGACATTGTATATTTGTTTTGTCCACGTTCACTTTAAGACCTATCCCTTTGGAGACACTATTGAAGTCATTGAGGACAGTGCTTAGGTTTTCCAGCGATTCTGCTATAAAGACCATATCGTCAGCAAATCGTAAGTGCTAATGCACGTTAATGCACTCGCTATTGATGTTATGATTGATGTCATGTTAATACCGTATCCTTTCTAGTCCAGTAGCTCGAAAACGTATACCAATGCAGCGGTGAAGAGTTTCGGGATATAGCGTCTTGCGTATCTCTGCATTTGGATAGGTTTCGTACTCTGGTTTTTGTACTTGGATAGCCTTCGCAACCCTACTGTACAAACACTTTAGTACTTTAATATACCGAAAGTCAACTTGGCAACGCTGAGGATACTGTAGCACTACCCAAATTGCGACGGAATCAAATGCTTTCTTATAGTTCAGATACGCTACACAAAGTAGCAAATTTTACTTTTCGGTCTTTTATACAACTTGCCGAAGGGTATGTATGTAGTCTACGGTACTAAATCCTTTTCGCAAACGGGCTTGTTGAGCAGGCCGAAAGTCGTCGAGTCTGCGTGCGAGACGATTCGTAATTAATCTCGAAAACAGCACATAGACGTGGCTCAAAAGGAAAATCTGTCTGTTGTTCTTCAAGAGAGCCTTGTCGCCTTTCTTAAAAACAAAACCACTGCACTACTGCTCCATGCCTACGGAGTAGTTTCACCAGGTAGGATAATGACACTAAATTGCTCTGATAATTCTATGTCAGTAAATTGTTTTGTACATGTCGTTCATATGTAATCGTATACCGACGATGTATATATATTTATGGTAAAGTAAACGTTCAGCTTTCATGACCACTTTTTATTCTCTTCTTCTTTCAGCAACTCAAACCAACAATGTTACCATTGCTGGAAATACGTAGCGCTTTTTTGGGAGCTAGGTTTTGTGATAAGAGGTTTGTAAGATCACTTGAACTATTAATTTGGACTGATCTTACACATTTTAGACAAAGGTGAATTACATCTTGTGAAGGATATGTTAAATAGCCTTCGATATTAGATGAAAAAATATTTCTTATGCTTATAAATGAATTTGCACTATGGAAGACTGTACGGCATCGCAACACTCTTCACAAGCAATTTTAATTCCTACTTTTCTTACCACAAAACCCGCTACATTGTCTACTACACGTTGTATTGTATGGTGTTTGATAAGGGCTTCATTGTAAGGTAGATATAGAAAATCAAAATCGGTGTCACTCTGCGTTTCCAAAGATAAGCAAAATTCTTTTGTTATTTTATCATAATATCAAAGATGTATTAAGTTTTTCTCGGTAATCACCTTCGAATTAGATAAAATTTATAAAATTTTATCTAATGCGAAATTGTCTGGCATTACAATATAAAAGTTATATCTTCTAAAGCCAGACAATTGCCACTTTCAGAAGTTTTTATTTCATTGTGACAAATTAAACACTTGTAGGCTGACATAACATTTCTAAGCATTGGATTATTATTGAATCCACCGCGAGATCTAACAGCACTGGAAAACAGTTTAAGGTAGTCCTGAGACATTTTATAAAAAAAAATTTCAATGTACCTTTTTCTACGAAATCATGGTAAAGCGATTTTGGTGATTTTATGTTCATTAAAAACCCAAGTTTAGCTAGTTTTCGCGGTGAATAAATGATTAACGAGCCATCTTCAAATTTAAGTTTGCAAAAATAATCGTGTATTTCATCTGACTTATGAAAAATATCATGTCTATTTTTTTGTAAAGGGGTATTTTATAGCCATAATTCATAAATTTCTTGAGTAGTAGCCATTGAATTCTGGAATTGTGGTAACTTTAAATTCTGTTCACAATACTCTATTGCTGTTGCTACTTAACGTAATAATAACTGTTATGCTAGTTTAATCTTCATTTTCTGTTTGAAGTAACTGATATAACGGAAGGTTAATTTGTTTGCTTAGTGAAGGCCTAATTGTGTCTTTAATTCGTAAAGAGCTTTTATGTAACCAGTCATTTTTTTTAAACGCTCTATCGACGAGGACTCTTTTTTCACCGAAAAAGTTGTGAATCAGTTTAAATAAATAACATAAATCTAAAATTACAAAATATTTTTGACCGTTATGACAAATGTGATTTTTTAAAATTAGATCCAAAAGAAAAATCGCCACCTAACAGCCGGATCATGTTTATCATGTTAGGATTACGGTTTCGGTTTGTGTGGATGTGTGTGATATTTGTGAATGGTCGCATGGCTGAGATTGTGTATAAATGAGTTGTGATTGACTGAGCAATTGTGGTTGTACTTGGCGATCATTTTCACTTGTGTTTTGTGTGATATTAGTTTCTACATAGCTGTTAGTCGCTTCTTCTTGAATTAATTGTGTTCGTACTTCTTCTTTTAATTGATCTATAACTTCTTGGGATAGAAGTTTATTCCTCGCCAAAATCGCCACCTAACAGCCGGATCATGTTTATCATGTTCACATCCCGTAAGGTGTAATAAATACAGGCATATTTTTAAAGATTTGCCTTTTTGGAGGCCGTAAATCCTCTACACGGAAAGTATTCAACTGCAATTTTCCAAAAAGCATTTAATGCTACCACCATAAGCAATAAAACCTGTTTCGCAATTTCAGCACCATCCATAGCCAAATCGTTGCCAAAATTTTCAAATCCATAATGTCTCCGGCTTACCCATTCAGTGTATTCACGTATACTCATTTCATCAAAAGTGAGATATAGGTTTAGATCAGGCTTCTTTTTTCTCATTTCTCTAATGGTGTTTAAAGATTATTGAGTAAAATCAGGTTCTTAGTCTAGTCTAGCATACCAGGTATGCAATGTGTTAACGTGTGGGAGACAAAAATCATATTTTTTCACGCAAATAATTATATGCCCTTTGACTATAGAAATGTATTTATAATTTATTAATAAAAGGAAGCAAATTTTTGTAACTATTCGTTATATTTGGATGTGGACAGTATTTGAGCACATTTTTTTATCATTAACCCTGTTAAATTAATTATGTATCAATTCATTGTTACATGCCATAGTGATCTTTCAATCCCGGTCTTAAACGAATTTCTTTAAGCATATTTTGCAATGTGACTATTTGTTTGGTCTGCCTTTTAGTTTTTCTACTAAGCTACTAAGCTATCAGAATTAAATTGGGACTATCTGCGCTTAATTTCTTCTTGCGATGGCTGTACTTGTGACGCACACAAAGGTTTTCTTGTTATAATTTATAAGAAATTTATCGAAAGTCTTTATACATCTGTTGTTAAGAGTCACGTGGGTTAAGTAGGGTATGTAGTAACACCGCGTAAACGTAAAGGCACGCCAGGTTGGAATGACGTAGTAAAATCAGCGTATGAGGACGCTAAAGTAAAATTATCAAGGTGCATCGAGGCTGGACTCCCAGCTCTGGTTCTCTTTATGATATGATGAAGCAAAATAGGTCTTTATTCAAAGGTCGTTTAAAGTGGTGCCAGAAAAATAAAAATAAAATTTTATTGGATCAGATAAGTACCACATGTATAGACAAAAACTTTTCTAAATTTTGGCAACATACATCAAAAATATGCAACATAAGGGTTGGAGTTCCGGTCTGCGTGGATGGTGTAAGCGATAAAAAACAGATAGCTAATAATTTTAAGCGGAACTTTTTGTTGGGTGACTGTTATTCCAGTGGTGTCCCTTCTGCGACAGATACACTTGATGTACCGGTTTTATCATAATATACTCATATTGATGAGTGTGTTTTGTATAATACCCTTAAAAAAGATGTGCCTTAGTAAAGCATGTGGTCGTGACCACATTTCGGTAGAACATTTACTTTGCGGTGGACCCTGGGTTGGGGTGTGGTTCTCTCGGTTTTTACTAACGCGTGTTAAAAACGTTTATTTTTGCCACCTGGCCTAATAAAATGCGTGGTTAGCCCTATTGTCAAAAATTAAACCTTAAGCGATACGATTAGCTCCAATTATAGGCCTATCTCAATCGCTACAACCTGTGCGAAACTATTTGAGTTCATTAGTCTAGATATTTTATCAAAATTTATTTCGTGTGACGCTCAGTTTGGTTTTAAAAAAGGTACCTTTACTGAGTTGGCAATTTTTCCTTGAAACAAATAGTAACATATTACGTGTCACGGAAAACAAATGTATACGCTTGTTTTTTGGAACTGAGTTGTGCCTTCGATAGGGTAAATTCTGTGGGATAAGTTAAAATTGGTGGGTGTTCCTCCCGACATAATTAGAATCCTTATTAATTAGTATAATACGCAAGCTAATGTAGTGAACCGGGATGGCTCACTTTCGGACGAGTTTGTACTGACTAACGTGGTTAGGCAGGTTGGGTTTACCTCTCCTCTGCTGTTTAACCTTTACGTTAACGCTCTAATTAAGGAGCTTAATGAAACTGGTATCGGCTCTCATGTAGGTGGGTAATGTGTAAACAACCTTAGTTACGCTGACGATATGGTTTTATTGAGCCCCTCAATCAGAGCCTTAAGAAAGTTAATTTCTATTTGTGAGAAATACGCAGTAAGCCACGACTTAGTTTATAATGCAGATATATCCGTGGCAATGGTCTTTGGAGCAAATAATAAAGATGTTTGTGTACCATTATAGCTGAACGGCAAAAATTTTAAGTTTTTGACTAGCTTTCGATATTTAGGACATATCGTATCGAATGACTTGATTGATATAGTATCAGTATAACAATTCGTTCCGAATATTATATCGTTTTCCGAGGTACTGTAGTGCATCTACAATATTTGCTGAGGCACGCGTGCCGGCGATCGATGCTTTGATAAGACATTGTGTGGCCAGATTTAGAAGTAATCTTCTCGAATCTGGAAACGTGATTATACAAACTTTAACGCAAAATTGTAGTGAAATATCTAAATAACGGTCCAGCATGTTAAGATGTAAGTTTTAATTTGTTTGATGGCATTTATTTTATTTATATTTATTTTTGTATTTCAGTATTGTTTAAATTTTTTAAAATATTTTGTATTATTGCTGCATATAAGTAGGTTCTTATGTTTTTTTACGGGCCTTTGATATCTGTCAATAAATGATTATTATTATTTCGGGGTATTCATAGAGTATTCTCATCTGGTTGGGCTGGATAAATATATAAAAAGAAATGAGAAATATACATGAATATATATTGGATATACTAACAGAAATATATAATACATAAATAAATAAAAGTCCAACCAGATAGAATCCCTCGGCAGGGGAGACCAAACGGCCGAGGTTAGGGCGAAAGGGAAAGAAACAGGCGGAGGATGCGGGCGGTATCGAGGAGCACTGCCTTCTGCATTTGAGCCCGGAGCGGTCCGTCACAAAATTCCAGCTGCCTCAGATGACCCGAGAGGCTGACTGGGATTAACCCGTTTGCAGAAACGACTACGGATATAATTTCAGTCGATAACCCCTCATGTCGGTCACCTCGTAAGGCAGGTCCAGATATTTTGTTCCCTTATGTGTTTCAGCTTTCACGAGGTTCTCGTCATACGGAATGGTAACGTTATGTAATAGTGCAATTTCCGGTCAACGAGACCGTATTTCAAAGCAAGCCCCTGTTGGCTACTAATTTGAGCCTGTGCAAGTAATCAGAGTTAGAAAGCGCCGAACAATCGGAGATGACATGCCTAAGTGATTCACCGGGAAGGCGACAAGTCGAGCGTGTGCCTGCTGTACTACCATATGTTAGAAGTGTCACAGACAAGATTGGCTACATCTTGAAGCGAGCTTCTATTAGAACATTCTACAATCCGCCGAAGAAGATTAGTCAGTTCCTACCATCAGTCAAGTGTCATATTCCTCTACAAGATGCAGGAGTGTACAAGCTTGATTGTGAATTTGGTCTCTCTTATATAGGACAAACGAAAAGATCAATTAGAACCCGCGTAAAAGAACATATAGCTGATGTGAAGCATCAACGTTCCGGGAAGTCTGCAGTTTGCGATCATGTCCTAGACGGCCCCAACCATTACATCAGATTTGATAGACCACAAATCCTCGCGAAAGAACACCGATTCCTACCAAGGATGATACGTGAGGCTATTGAAATTAAAAAAACATCCTAATTTCAATAGAGAAGGACGCTGGGTACTACCACCTGCTTGGGATCCTATAATTAATAAAATTAAAACTAAACCCAAGCATACCACTGCAAGACCTCAGGACATAGTCAGTTCATTTTGCATAGATCGGACCATAAACAATAATTAAAAAAAGCTGAAGGTACTCCGGGTTTAACAATGACATCGGGACGTCAGTCATCTCAGTCCTCCGTGACCATGGGTGCTGGAAAGCGCCCGAAACGTCGGGAATTGAAAATAATAGTAAAATAAACGCGATAAAATCCGTAAAAAGTAGTTTTAATCAATGTGTAGTGTTCGCGTAAATATAAGAAATCATTAATTATACACTTTTTTATTTTTATGGTCTATTTCACTTTAAACATTTCTCAATTATCATTTATATTAATAATTACGATAAGATACATGTAAAGTAAGGTAGAATCATCATCATCATCA